CATACAGGACCTGGGACACTGGGAGGAGTGACTGGGCCTCTCTCGGGAGGTGGCCTTGGGAGCTAAGACAACGGGAGGCCACACAACCATTCTCAGAGTGCTTACCACCCTGCCCGGGCTCGAAAGGGTGGCGGTGCCCAGAGGCTTGGTGTGATCTTGCCACTTGGCACCCCGTGTGCAAGGCGTCTGCTCACAATCGCACCCTTACCCCACCCCACCCCACTCCCGCGCCACTGCGGCCAGAGCCTGCCTTTGTACTGCGCTGACAGCAAGTCTGGCTGATCACACCCGGTGGTGGTGGTGGTGGTGGTGGTGGTGGTGGTGGTGGTGGTGGTGGTGGTGGCGGCGGCGGCGGCGAAGCGTGTGTTGCTGGGTCCCTATGTAAGTGTGTATACATTATCCCCAGGTACGAGGGAGAGCACCCCGTTTGTCCCCACCGGAGTCCCTAAGCTTATCTCTAACCCTGCTCTTTCCAGCTTCCCTGTGGTGGACTGAAGGAGATAAGACAACCGGTGTGTATGAAAGAAAGAAAGAAAGAAAGAAAGAAAGAAAGAAAGAAAGAAAGAAAGAAAGAAAGAAAGAAAGAAAGAAAGAAAGAAAGAAAGAAAGAAAGAAAGAAAGAAAGAAAGAAAGAAAGAGACAGGGAAAGAAGGAAGGAAAGAAAGAAAGAAGGAAAAAAGAAAGAAAGAAGAAAAGAAGGAAGGAAAGATCATAGCCTTGGGTGGGTGGGGTTGCAGATGAGCAAGCGATCTCGGGGAGCAAGAGCAGCCCCACAGAAGGCCAGCGAGCGCGAGGCCTGGCGGACGCCTCTCGCATCGCGGCGCGGCTGGGCACAGTGGCTGGGTTATGTAAGTAAGAGCCCTCCTGCGCTCCACACCATCTGTTAATATCTTGATATTGGAAAGTTCGGTGCCTGAGGCAAAGCCAGGGCTGGCGGCGAATAGCTCCCAGCCTACCCCTTATTCCTCTAGGGCAGGGAATGCCCTCCCTTCGCCCTTTGTTCGTTTCTGACCATTCCCACTTCAAGCTGTCGTGTGACACCGCCCCCCCATCACCAGCAGCCCCTCTTCCCCGTGGAGTCGTGTTTTTCTTTGAGATCACCTTGTTGCTAATAAGTTCTCACTATGTATGTTTATGTTTGTGGCGATCTTGCGTCCTTTTATGGTAAAGCGAGGGGCCCTTTTTAGTCTGGTGGGGAGAAGGCTTTATTATTATTTTTTATTACTTTTTCTGCCAGTCCTCCTGGCTCCCAGCTTCTTTGGAGTGACTCGCTGGTGTTTACTTTGAAAACTGTTGGTTAAACAAACATCACTCGGAGGTTTCTGAGCGGTGGGGTTCCCCAGGGAGAAACGCCGCTGCAGCTGCAACTTGCTACTGATCTGGTGGCATTTCACTTTCTCCCCCACCATTCAGAACAAACCCAGGTTGGGTTCGGCGTCACGCTGGGCACAGGGGAGGAGAGCAGGAGAGGACCGCAGTCAACCCGCCTCTAGGCAAGCTGCAGCTGGCAGGTCTGCTCCCGCCGCCGCTGCCTCTTCCTTCTGACCCCTCCTCAGGTGGGTGGCAGCGGTAGTGGTGGTGGTGAGTGGGTGGGTGAGCTGGTAGGAGGCCACCGAGTTCCTTCAACATCCTTTCACAAAACCCACCTCGACGTTTGCCTCTTCCCTGGATCTGCTTGAAAACCCCAAAACAGCTCCTAGGTGCTGATGCCTGCTGATCATGCGGTCTCAAATGACCTACAAGCACTGCATCCCCTCCTTAGCCCCCACCTAAGGTTTTAAAGAAAGAACGGGGATGGGGTGGGGGGAGAAATACCCAGAGGGAAGGTCAAGGCAAAGTGTGTTTAGCCTAGAGCCGGATGTACAACCGCCTTTCTCTAATAGCACACAAATCACTCTCCAGATAAAGCAGCTAATGCAACCTGCAGGAGGACGTTTTGTCCCTGCACCGTCCAGAACTTGTGCTCACTTTACATCACCAGGACGGTGGCTGGCCCGGGTGGAAGGACCTAGGCTTGGCCCCTGGCTTCGCGGATGAGGCAGGTGTCTAGAAGCCTTCTGCTCTCCTGGCTGACTGATCGCTTCTTCGCTATAAAAAAACAAACAAACAAACAAACCGAGAGTTGCCAGAGTTAGGGCCCTTGGGCCTCAAGCCTTGCTCCAGTGCCGCTCGAAACCGTGGGGAGCGCCACCGCTCAGGCCAGACAGTACGGCCGGCCGCGAGCCTGGTTCGTGCCCCGGACAGTTAGAGGCAGACAGGGCTCATCCGCAGCTTTCAGAGCTCAGGGTCATCACCCCAGCTCACACGCCCGAAAGGCCAGCGATCCGCTTTCCACGCGCGCAGCTCCTGAGCTCTAAGTACGGGCTGCGAAGTGCGGCTGAGCTTGGCAAACTGCGAGCCTTAGCGGCGCGGTCTGCCAGGGGAGTTTGCTTGTCTGTTCGGAGGTTACCCCGGCTTTAACTCAGGCCTGCTTTGTCCTTTTGCGAGACAGATGGAGGACTTAGATTTGAGGGTGCTCCGGAAACTTTTCCCCGCAGTCAAAATCCAGGCGCTGCGTGTGCAAAACGTGTACCCGAACGCCAGGTGCAACTTATACAAACTACCCTTGCCTCTCCCCCGTCAACCTCTTTCCTTCCCAACACCCCCCCCCCTTAAACGTCAAACTGACACTAACTTACAAGTGAAAACAGATTCTTCATGAGAAAATAAAGAAACCAAAAAGGAGAAAGAAAGTGGTCTGGACCAATCTCAGAACCCCAAATTCCACCCTCCTCGGTACCCTCAAAGGTACCCGGCTAACACTGCATTCTGTCTAAGGGGCTTGTGAGTAGATCATGTCAGTCCCCAGCCCCGATGAGAACTCTTGCTACAAGAGCCCATCATTGAAGGTGTCAATAGTGCATTGAGCTCTAGGCAAGCAATTCTGTTTCCCAACCTGAGGTGGGGAAGGTCTGGGGGCAGTTTGAGAGGTGGCAAGAGGCTTGGGGGTGCTCAGGTGAGTCTCTTCTTTCTGAACACCAACCTGGCTGACCTGATTTTCCCCCCTTTTCCCTTCTTCTTTTCAATGTTCGAATTCCGTGCTGGCCAAAAGTTTCCCACAGGGCACAGACATCAGACACACACACACACACACACACACACAGAGAGAGAGAGAGAGAGAGAGAGAGAGAGAGAGAGAGAGAGAGAGAGAGAGAGAGAGACTGCCGTCCGACTCACAGGGGATTAATACACTCTTCCATTCTGATGACTCGGAGGCTGAGATTGTGACCGTCCTAGAAAGGAGTGTCTGCGTGGCAGACGAGGGTGGTGGGTCTGCCAGTGCACTCCTGTCTCATAAACACTCTGTCACAGCACGCTTCAACCTTTGATCTGATTGAATTGGAGGGACTCAGGAAAATCCTTGTCCCCACAACACCTTTTCTAAAAAGTGTCTGATCTGCTAGGTATGAGCATCTCAAGTGCTTCACAGCGCTGGTGAGGCTAGTGCTTTCCAGAGTGTTCCCTCCACAACGCCCCTCTGGCGAGCACAGCTGTTAACTGTGCCCAGGGAAGGGGACATTCAAGTTGCAACGGGAGGTTTTCTGCAGCATGTCACTGGACGCCAAGGTCCTCCTCGAGAGCCCTGTTATCTGAAGAAATCTCGCTGCTATTTTTCATCCAAGATGTCAAACCAATGTGCCTTCAAGCATTAGAGTCCGAGGTACTGGCGTTTGGAATGCCTTGCCTAATAAACTTTTAAGCTTGTCACTGAGACTTCGAAATTGTGTAAATTCTATATTGAACTAATTTTTTTTGGCCACCCTGGGGTGTGTGCACTGGAGAAGGGTGACTGGGAAATGGTGTTTGTAGCATATGTGGCAACTTTGCCTACAATTTAAATAACATTTTAAAAGGCAATCGAGGGGGATTCCTATAAATTTTGGGATCTGATTGACAGGGACACAGTCAATAATAGGTAGAGCTTTTAACACCAGATTTAGCGGTCCCAGAGTGAAATCTCTGACACCTATTTTTTAAATCCTAAACCTACCTGTGTTTGTCCATCCTCTATAAAAGGGAGCCAGAGTGGCAGGTCTTACTAATACTGTCTATGATGTTCCCAAAGAGGAACGATTTGCAACCCCCCCGGCCCCCCACACTCCCTCCTTTATGCAACCCCCACCCTTAAAACCTCCACTTTTCGTCCAGTATAGTTTTCTGTGCCTTCCTACACCCCAGGCTGGGGAGCACTCCCCTAGCTCCGCCGCTGGGAGAACTCCATCATCTGTATCAGTGAAATGAGAGAGAGAGAGAGAGAGCGAGAGAGAGAGAAAAAGACCTGCGTCCTGGAAGAGCGAGTGTGAGCCGAGCCGGCGCCGCGGTGCACAACGCCCGCAGATGGCTCGCGGCGGCCGGGGCGCGGCGGTCCAGGCGCCCCAAGCAGTGGCAGGGCGGGGTGGGGGCCGGGGCTGGAGGCCGGGGCGGGGGAGCGCGGGGCCCCTCTCCCCTCCTCTCTCCCCAGCCCCTCACCCCCACCCCTTTTATATATATATATATATATATATATATATATATGTATTTTTTTTTCCTCCCAAGTTCTCTTGCCTCGCTATCCCCCCTTGAATCCGAAGGCGCCTCGCGATTGGGTGCTGGGGCCGGGTACGTCAGTGGGACTGTGACGTGCAGTCTTCCTGTTTCCTTCAGCTGTGTCTTAAAGTAAATCTTGTTGTGGAGCGGAGCCCTCAGCTGAGAGAGCGCTGGGAAAGCGTCCGCCACAGCAGCTGGGGAAGCCGGGCGCACACGAGCTTCACCGCCGCGCCCGCTGCGCCTCGAGCCACAGCGCGCCGCGCTCCAGCCCTCGCCTCCTCCTCCGCTCCTCTGCCTTCTCTCTGCTTTCCCCGGCTCCCGGCTCTGCCCTGCGCCTCTCCCCTCCCCTCCCTCCTTTCTCCCCTCTCCCGGCACTCGCCCGGCTCCCTCGCTCTCGCACAGACTCACCGACCCCTGGGCCAATTATCACCAGTAAGACATCACAGCGTGCGCGCGTGGGTTTCTTCTCTCTGCCCGCAAGAGAGAGAGAGAGGGAGAGAGAGAGGGAGAGAGAGAGAGAGAGGGAGGGAGAGAGAGAGTGGCTGCGCCCCGCTGCTGCCCGCACCGCGTAAGTATCTTCACCCGGTCGCTGTCCCCTCCCCTTTTCCAGAACCGCTCGCACTGGCTTGTTCTTGAATGGGAAGCAGAGAGAAGAGCCTCCCGTTACTCACACCCGTGTAAACATTCTTTTTCCAGGGGGAAAATGGTGTTATTTACATGAATCATAATCAAATAGCCTCTAAAAACAGTTTTCTAAGCAGGAGCCTCAGTGGAACTCCGCGCTCCGCTCCTCCCAGTTACGAAGAGTAAGTGATCCGCTTGGCTTTTATTTCTTTCTCGTGCCTGCCGGTGGCTGGGGTGGTGGTGGCGATGTGGGGAGGCTGGCGTTGCCGGACTTGTCCCTGATCTTGTCACCTTTTGTGTACTGTGCCTGGAGTGCACTGAGGCTCTGGCTTCCTTTTATTTTTATTTTTTTTTTCTTTTACTCAGGAGAGGTGGCCGCGAGGGGACCGAGTCCCTTTTTGTTGTTCTTCTAGATTTCTTGCTGCCTTCCCAGCCTCTTCCTTCCCCGCTCCCGGGGTTGAAACTCCAGGGCCTGTCCCCGTCCCTTTCCTTTGTCTTGTTTATTCTAGCTGCCTTTCTTCCCGGCTTTTCCTATTTGCTTGGTGTTTGCATACCTTTCACTTCTCCTTTTTAACCCCGGCCGAGGGCCGGCCGTGGGGAGGAGGGCGGAGAGGGGGGGGGCGCCCGGTGACTTTCCTCTCCCTGCGCGTTCAGAGCTGGGAGCTTGCACCCGGCTCTACAGCCAAGGAGGGACGAGTGGAGGGACGGTCCCGAGGAGCCAGCGCGGAGCCCCTCCACTCAGCCTGCGCGCCTCTCTGGGAAGCGCAGAGTAGGGGGAGTTGGCCCGGGAGCCTCAGGGGTCGCCTGTGGGGCCATCGGGACGCCGCGCTGCGGAAGGCCGTCCCCGGCTCGGGGTGTTCTTGTGCCGCCCGTAGGCGAGAAGAAGCCCCCAGCCATTACTGGCACGCTCCGGTGGTGGGCAGCTGCGCTCCGGCCTCGGCTGGGTGGTGCTACTGTGTTGCCCAGTTCCTAGGACTGGGGAGGGAGGACAAGAGCCCAGCCGAGTGGAGAGGTGAGAGTGATTGTTGCTGAGAAGAGCGGCGGCGTGGAGGGCGGGAGGAAGGGGGAGAGCTGCTATCTTGCCTGAACAGACAAGGAGAAGGGACTGGGGGAGGGGGGCGGTAGACATCACCCAAAGTCCAGCTGAGCAAGTTGTCGTCGCCTGGACAGTGCCAGCCAGTTAGTCCTGCTAAAACTGAGCGCCTGTGCTGAGAGCCACGGGGGGTGGGGTGGGGGGGGCGGAGAGAGCAGCGAGCCGCACTCAGACACCCCTGCCCAGCTTCTCGGGAAGTTGAGTCCTGTCTGCAGACTCCCAGCAGAAGCAGAAGGAGGGGCTGGGGACAGTCTTAAGTAGCCCAAGGAGACTGGTTGGAGCGTGAAACTGCCTTTCTTGGCAGCCCAGAGCCCTTCGCCTCGGGGAAGGTTGAAAACTCACCTGCTTACTTATATTTTTCCGAGAACATCTGTGTTGTCTCCTTAAGCTTATGAAAATAGAGCAGGCCCACGGTGGCCTCCTCTCAGAGTTAAGGCTAGAAGAGTCTCGTGGTGTGGTGTCTTGTTCTCTCTCCTCCCTAGCCCTCCTTCCTTTTACCAATCCCCCCCAACCCCTCTGTTAAAAAAAAAAATCATTTCCTCTCCTAAACCAGGCAGACAAAAGTCTGTTAGCAGAATGCGCATGGGCAGGGCTGGACAGGTGTGTTGTGTCAAGAGAGGCAGGTGCAAGTTTCCTGGGTGTCTGTGTTTCTGTACAGCCCCAGACCGCAAGGCTTCAGGGCTGAAGAGGTTCATGAATTTATGGTGGTTCTGGCTAATGGGATTGCCAGGCTAATGGGAATCCGGCTGTTGTGATCTGAACCCCTGCCATGAGATTTTTTTTTTGGACATGGGGGTGGTATTATTTGTTTATTTGTCTTAAGAATGTTGGCAGGTGACTGCTGAGGCTCTATCTTAGGCTTCCGTCTGCCAAAAGTACACCCCACTTCAGGGTGGCAGGTGGAAGGAGTTGACTTTCTCTTTGCTTCCCTCCAGTTTATGCCTGTCTGGCAGGTCAGTGCTTAGCAGACAGGGGGTGGGGAGATCCTTTGTGTGTGTGTGTGTGTGTGTGTGTGTGTGTGTGTGTGTGTGTGTGTGTGTGTGTAGTTTGTAACTGCCCGGAATACCAAAGTCATTTCCCAAGTGTGACTAGCCATTAAAGCTTGTCTTTGCGGTGTGCCTTCTCTCCCTGCTCAGAAAGAGTAAGTATGTGCCTAAACTCTTTCAAGCCCCGTGTTAAATACTCTCAGACACTGAACTGTGCCTGTCACTGCATCAGACATGTGCCAGGTGTCCTAGAAAGGACTTTGATGGAGACTGAGCATCTGAATCTGTGAGAGGGAGCTGGGCTCTGGCCATATGAGATATGATGGAAGATCTGGGCAGCCAGTTCTATGACGAGTTCCTTGCAAGAACTTCTGAGTGTTTCTGGAATGGAGCAGGCTGAGAAAGGAGAAAGGCTGCTTGTGTACCAGGAAAGATGTTGGGAGTTCTGTGTAAGTGCCGTGTCTGGGTGTCCAGGTTCTTAAAACTCGACATCTAGGCTGTTGGCTAAACAGTTGACTTCCTTAAGTTGAGTTGTGTGGGAATAGGTCAGATGGTGGACAGTCTTGTTATTTGGAGGTTATCTCTGTTTCCATGAAAATGACAGGTATGTGTCACTTAGTCTCTTAACTTAAATGTTAATCACCCCACTTCCTAGCCCTTTCTTTGTATGCTTTTGGAGATTTTTTATTATTAAGATGTCACCCATAGCTATGTTCACATGCCTTATTTTTAATAGGTGTTAGTCGTGGTTGGCACTTACTGATATTTTATGTGCCCGTTATGCAGAATTCTATTTAGTTTAATCACCACCTTGTGGGGGGAAAAGTCACACAAACACATGCATCTTTGTCCTCAGTGTGTTCATTCTCTAGCTCGGTTTCTCTGCAAGCAGTTTGTGCAACCTACAAACCTGAGCTACCCACTCTGCAAGTGGCCAGGCTCCTCCTCGTTTGTTCAAATCTCATAAAGTCCCTTCTCACAAATTCCCTGCATCACTTCAAGTATGGTCTCAACTATATACCAAAAATATTAACATTTTTACTGTTTAGAATTTTACTGGTGTTAGAGTGTAAAAACAGAGTATGCATACTTTTTGTTATAGGTTACAAATTCGGTATTTGTATAAATTGGGAGGATAACATAGGAGCAACTTCTCCAATCTTGTTGCCTAGTGCATCCCAAAGCTTCAAAGAATATTTTGAGTATTTTGGTTTTTCTGCAAAAAGAAAAAAAGCATGAGTGCACTTTTTTTTAAAGATTATTTCTCACACTCTTGTATTTGCCCAATTTGATGAATTGCAACTTTTAAATAAGTGGAAATCAATACTTTGGGCAGGTCTCAGAAAGTGTTCTGTGTTCTCTTTTCAAGTGAAAAATGAGTGGAATTTTAGATAGGATGGAAGACTAGCAAATGACATGGTTATGATTTGAAACCTTTTATTGTAAAAGGAAATTTAAATTTTTCATCAATAAGATGTCAATTCTTTAAAGTATTAACTTATGCCAAGTCAGTTTTTTTTAACCCTTGTAGCATGTAGAGGTTTCTTTAAATTAAAAGTTGTTAATTAGCAGAAATGCAGAGAGCACATCAAGTGACTTAGTGTGTACATGTGAATCAAAGTACCTGATTTTCCCCTGTTGAATTCAGGCTGATTTTCAGGATGACTTACAATATTGATGATTATTTTTCCACTTGAAACCATATGACTAGCTTAACTCATTGGAGGCAACTTAAAGATGACTTTGTAAAAGAAATAAAATCCAGCCATTTCTTCAAACCATTTTACCAAAATGGACAGATGCCTGAATAACTGAAGCAGGGAGGCACGTCAGGGTTACACTCCCCATCCTCATCAAAGATCTGTCTGAGCTATCTGGGTAATTACCATAATGAAACACCTCTTTGTCTAGAATCTGGGCTCCAGATAGATGTAGTAAAAGTTGCACCCCCTCCCCAAAATAACTTCCTTATTAAAGTCCAGCCCTGAGCACTCCACTTCACATGGCTGTGTCCCTCTGAAATTCCTCACTGAAAATTATATTTTACAACATTAGGTCAGCAATGTCCTCTGGATCGATCTTGTCAAACAGAATGCAGACACTCCGGGCTTCAAGGAGCCACGTTCAGGAGCACTGAGCTCTGACTTGATCGTGGCTTGAAGTTGCCTTCCCACTATTTTTTTGCAAGGAGGCATCTGCCTTGTTGTGCTGCCTGTTGTACAGGTGTTAGAGCGTGCGTGTGGGCCGTGTACCAGTCAGCACAACATGTGTTTAATGATTTAACATGGCGACATAGATTTCCACGTGAACTCGGGAGAGCTTTATAAGACACATGTATCTGGGTAGTGATCATTTAGTCCAGATTCTGTTAGGACTCTTCTTCTGTCTTCTTTCTACCGTTTCTCAGAAGGACTGGTCCAAAGGCTTGATGTATATTGCCTGCTTAAACCCCAAATTGGTGTTACAGTAAAAACGCTGTAAGAACCCATAGTAATTGAAGTTGAAAACCACAGCTTAATTCATACCCTAAGAGACTTGAAGTTGTTGGATACTTCAGAGGGTTGACCCTCTGGGTGACTAAGTCCTTATGTAGCATCCTGGAAACTATGGATTGGAAATTATGGAAATCCTTGGAAAATGTTCTTAGCTGTTTTAATTTTACCATGGCCACCTGATGGTGGATTTTGATGTGGAAATATATTTTTGGATGTTCAGTTTAATGATGCTAGATGTGTACTAGATCAGCCACCTATTATTTTTTTATCTTGCCTATAATGTCCTTGGATTATGGCCCTGATGTGTATGGTCACTCTCCTTTTATTTCTGTTTAAATATTAAACTGTATAGAGAAATAAATTCATGTGTAGCTATTAACATATTGCTCTGTCTTGCTGGATAAAATAATTCCCCCATTTATTTTGTCCTGTTATTTATATCTTAGCTGGATATTTTACAGGGAGACCTAAAGTATTTGTATTCTCTTTGCCCAAAATAGAAATAAATCATTAAATTTTTAAATGATTCAGATTTTTTAAAAAAATCAATTTAGCCTGGTAAATTTGGAGGGAGTTACAGAGTATTAGGTCTCCATGGGCCCAGTGTGTATGTCTAATTAATATTTACTCTCCACTAAAGATAAAAGAGTGATGCCATCCTACCTTAGCAGAGCCCAGCCTCCCCTTGGCTCTGGCTTGAGGCAGGGATGCAGCTGTTGGTACCTAGGCTACCCAAGAGGAAGTGTAGTTGACGCAGAGGTGACTGGCAGCTGGGAGAGGAAGGATGCCTGGGATGACCTTGTGCTCATCTATACACTGGCATGTCCTCCGGGGGCCTCTGCCTCAGAGGTGCTCTTCAGAGTCCAAGATGGGAGGAAGGAAGGCCAGTCTGGGCAGCAAGTGAATGGGGGGAGGAGAGGCACAGCAAGGAGTTTCTTCCGTCTTCATTAGAGGTCCATGTGCTTTGCAGGGGATGTCGAAGAGAGAAAAAAAGATTCACGCACTCATGCAGATGATATAAAAAGATCTTAAAATGATGGCAAGGAGCCCTGGTTTTGGAAAGCTGATATATGCACAAAAGAACCTTCCTCGTAACCACCCACATGCAAGTGTTTCTGTGCCTCAGACATTGTCCCTTTCCTGTCCTTGCTCTCACCTGACAGTGGCTGCTGTGTACCTGTCACACACAATGTGCTGCCAGCAAAATATGTATCGCTGTGTATTGTCATCCCCAAACAAATTGTGCCATTAGTGGGTGAGGCGTCTCAGTTGTTCTGAACTTAATTTCGAACCCAGTGTTAAAGTCATTGAGATCCCAAATTCCAGCCCAAATTCAGGGTGTTTTGCCTTGAAGTGTTTCACCCTCAGAAATACAGAGATCTCTAGAAAGAACCATCACCCCTTGCCTCAGGACACCTGAAGCAGGCTCTTCTAAAAAATATTTTGTCTTCAGAGAAAAACACCAAGAGCAAACACAGCATGGTGAAATATTTGTCATGAAAAAAAAAAAAGACCAGCATATTGTTGCCATGTAATCATGGAGCATTTTCTTGAATTTTACAGATTATTTCATGCGGAAATCATGCCTATCTGCATGGGTAGTTGTTCTTTAAAACTAGCCACAGATGTACGCCTATGGAGCACGTAGATGTTTTTACAGGTGAACCGAAAGAGATGGGAGAGAGTCCAAGCACTCCACACGCTGCCTTTGGCAATGGAGCCCGTTATTGTGAAGATGTGGTCTGTTAAGCAAATTCGAAGTTCACTATCAGATAAACCCGGCATGAAGGCAGCATTTTCATTTTCTTCATAAAACGTTAATTGTAAACAAAAAGATGTGCTGTCTTTTGGATGCGTATAAAATCTGGAGCAAGTTACTAAGTGACACAACGTATCAAGATCCTTTGATAAAATGTAGGCAAAGATGTTTCCTTTTTATGTCTTGCCCCCTAAAACAATGCTAGTTGACATACAAAGAAGCCATCTCCCTTTCTCATATATTTGATTGATGTTTTGTTTCCTTTATAGCTTTCTCCAGTTGCTTCTTCTGTGTATCTTCCCCACCCCACCCCACCCTTCTCCCCCTTTCCTTGGCATAGGCAATAAGATCTACAAATGGTGTGTGTTTAAGAGTTTCTTAGCCGTTTGAAGCACTGTTTGGCAGATTTTACCAGAACAAAACTGGTACTAAAAGATTCGTGTATTCTTGCCTGGTCCAGTAATGTACTGTTACACATCCTGGCTCCCAAAATGTGGCAACAGCCAATCTAACTTTCTAACAATTGAAGCCACCAAAAGGATACTCTGACCATGTCTAAACATCTCCTTGTTATATGTAGAAACAGCAACAGATATCATCTTCACCTGTGAATTCACTGACCAAAACCCATCACTGTGCTAAGTAAGCAGTATTGAACAATGTGTATCTGCCTTTATCTCAGTGCTAAACAGACCAGTAACGCCTGAAAGATGCTGGTCGCTATGTTCTTCCCATTTCACATATGACAAGATTGATTTTAAAATTCAGTAATAAAAGTGTGTGCTAAATATCTGCATCAATTGGAGTCTTCCCTTCCTTCAGTAACATGAAAGCCACAGTGCTTTTGAGACCAGCTCTTCATCCAAATTTCACACGGCCTCAAAATTTCACCCTGTGTCTTAAGTGTGACCCACTCCCCTCTTCTTTTAGAATAAGAATCTCAGTGCTCCCAAATTTAATCAATTGCTTGTCAGAGGCTGTGTTCTTATAATCTGCCATTTCTTCCGAAGATAAACAGTATCATTTTAGGCATTTGTGAAAGAGAATCATATTACTGGTGCTTAAGCAGTTTTTGCTTTTTTTTTAATCTTAATCCATCTTAAACCAGTGGAGCAGAAATATTTTAAAATGTTTCATTTCAAGCAGAGTTCATGATAAATTGCAATAATTGTGATGTGCCATAAATCCCAGAGCCTATGCATTTTGCATTTGATTCAGGATTGAGGTCAGGAAATTTGGAGAAATTTAAAGAAAATGATTCATCAGTCCTTTTGTTCTGTTGGCCAGGGTCCCGGGATTCTTGAGCTGTGCCCAGCTGACGAGCTTTTGAAGATGGCACAATAACTGTCCAGTGATGCCTGACCATGACAGCACAGCCCTCTTAAGCCGGCAAACCAAGAGGAGAAGAGTTGACATTGGAGTGAAAAGGACAGTAGGGACAGCATCTGCATTTTTTGCTAAGGCAAGGGCAACATTTTTCAGTGCCATGAATCCCCAGGGCTCAGAACAGGATGCTGAATATTCTGTGGTGCAACACGCAGATGGGGAGAAGTCGAACGTACTCCGCAAGCTGCTGAAGAGGGCGAACTCGTATGAAGATGCCATGATGCCTTTTCCAGGAGCAACTATAATTTCCCAGCTGTTGAAAAATAACATGAACAAAAACGGTGGCACCGAGCCCAGTTTCCAAGCCAGCGGTCTTTCTAGCACAGGCTCCGAAGTACATCAGGAGGATATATGCAGCAACTCTTCAAGAGACAGCCCCCCAGAGTGTCTTTCCCCTTTTGGCAGGCCTACTATGAGCCAGTTTGATGTGGATCGCTTATGCGATGAGCACCTGAGAGCGAAGCGCGCCCGGGTTGAGAATATCATCCGGGGTATGAGCCATTCCCCCAGTGTGGCATTAAGGGGCAATGAAAATGAAAGAGAGATGGCCCCGCAGTCTGTTAGTCCCCGAGAAAGTTACAGAGAAAACAAACGCAAGCAGAAGCTGCCCCAGCAGCAGCAACAGAGTTTCCAGCAGCTGGTTTCAGCTCGAAAAGAACAGAAGCGAGAGGAGCGCCGACAGCTGAAACAGCAGCTGGAAGACATGCAGAAGCAGCTGCGCCAGCTGCAGGAGAAGTTCTACCAGGTCTATGACAGCACCGACTCTGAAAATGATGAAGATGGCGACCTGTCTGAAGACAGCATGCGATCAGAGATCCTGGATGCACGGGCCCAGGACTCAGTGGGGCGCTCCGACAATGAGCTGTGTGAGCTGGACCCCGGGCAGTTCATCGACAGGGCTCGAGCCCTGATCAGGGAGCAGGAGATGGCGGAGAACAAGCCCAAGCGAGAAGGCAGCAACAAAGAGAGAGACCACGGGCCAAATCCCTTGCAGCCAGAAGGCAAGCATCTGGCAGAGACCCTAAAACAGGAGCTGAACACGGCCATGTCACAGGTCGTGGACACGGTGGTCAAAGTCTTCTCAGCCAAACCCTCTCGCCAGGTTCCTCAGGTCTTCCCACCTCTCCAGATCCCCCAGGCCAGATTCGCAGTCAATGGGGAAAACCACAATTTCCATACGGCCAACCAGCGCCTGCAATGCTTTGGTGACGTCATCATTCCGAACCCCCTGGACACCTTCGGCAATGTGCAGATGCCCAGTTCCACAGACCAGACAGAAGCACTTCCCCTGGTGGTCCGCAAAAACTCATCCGAGCAATCTGCCTCTGGGCCAGCCACGGGTGGCCACCACCAGCCCCTGCACCAGTCACCTCTCTCTGCCACCGCGGGCTTCACCACCCCTAGCTTCCGCCATCCCTTCCCCTTGCCCTTGATGGCCTACCCGTTTCAGAGTCCACTAGGTGCTCCCTCTGGCTCCTTCTCGGGAAAAGACAGAGCTTCTCCCGAGTCCTTAGACTTGACCAGGGACACAACGAGCCTGAGGACCAAGATGTCATCCCACCATCTGAGCCACCACCCCTGTTCACCAGCACACCCACCCAGCACCGCAGAAGGACTCTCTTTGTCACTCATAAAGTCTGAGTGTGGAGATCTTCAAGACATGTCCGACATCTCACCTTATTCGGGAAGCGCAATATCCTTTTATCTTTCCCCTCGAGAACAAACGTAGACAAAAGCCCCCAGGGAGGCCCCCCTAAAGCTTAGGCACCCACACTATATAGCATGGCGCGTGTCAGTACGGTGTTCTGGGGGGGTGGGGTTGGCTGTGTTTAGATTTTGGGACTTTGAGACGAGGCATCGCTCAGTAGCCCAGGCTGGCCTGGCTCTCCTGAGGTGTTCAGATTACAGGCATGCACCCCAATGCACAGTCAGCACCTTCTTAAGAATGTAGCCTTCCCTATGACTCCACATAACAGGCTGTGGGAGCCACGCACTGGGTGCTCTGTACCTCTAAGTGCAGAGAAACTTAAAGACTCACTCCAACGACCCTGTGATTCTTGACAAGTACACGATCACCTCTAGGAACTGTCTCTAAGGCAATCTCCCAGCAGTGCTGGCCTCTGCCTTTCTTCCCGTGTGACTCTCTTGTCTCCTTTCTTGAGGGCAGGTGGAGTGGGGGCTTGGGAACGGGGCAGCACCTCGTAAATACTGAAGTTTATAAAGATGGTAAGTTTTAGGACAGGGATAAGACAAAAGGTCAGTTTTCAGACCTGTGATTCCATCAAGAACGCTCACTGCCTTTGAGGCCACAGTGGCTGCAGGGGCCTGATTAGATCTCAGGAAGACAGGGAAGAGGCTGCCACTGTGGGATGGATAGCCAGGGGTGTGGGGATGGCTTGCACCCTGTCTTTAATCTTAAAGGAGATGGGCAGGTACTGATTTATTCTGAAGGCGTTAGCTTCCCTGTGTCACTGAGGTCTGTTCTGTGGGTCTGGGGCAGCTGCCTGTACGCATGAGTGGCCTCTGCTCAGCCAAACACAGAAATCTTTTGTCCTAACACACACAAAGCAAATTATTTTGGAAAACGAGAGAACACAGCTAAATCCAAAACTCGGCTGTATAAAAATGGCACCTTGAATGACTCTTTTCCATCCTGAGCCTGACTCTTAGGAAGAGATGGCAATTCTATTTTTAGCAAAGCTGTCCTATACTCCAGCAATTTTTAATCCATACATTTTTTCTTCTACAAATCAATCTTTTCAATATCTTTTTTTAATTTGTGGTTGTTTGTCTTTTTTGGGGTGTGTGTGGTGGAATAGTAGCATTTGGGGGCAGGTGGAGGCATGCCTCTTGTATAACAAATTACCAGATGGATATAAAATTTAGCAATTAAGTTGGCTGTTACTAAATTGAGGATTTTGAGCAATAGTCTTGGTGACAGAGATTGACAGTTTAGCAGCAGAGCCCACTCCAGAGACTGCACAGCAGTTCCAAGTCCCCAGGATGATAGAAATATGCTCCCATTCCTCCAGGGCAGTCACTGGTAAAGTGAGCTGAAGACACATATATGAGACCTTTTGGGTCACGAAGCCCAGAATCTTCCCATCCCAGGGAAGATAAGAACATCCCAGGCAAAGGCAAAGACACCGAAGTCTTAGATTCAAGTCTGAACTTGTTTGCTGGCTCAACCTCAGTTTCTCAAAACCCTAAACTCAGTGCACCAGAGGTTAAGCCTCACAGTTGTGCTCTATATTACCAGCTGGCAATGCATTTTGTTCAAAGCGACTGGACCAGAGCTGCTGGGTGGGAGGACGGGATGGATGGCTTGAGTAGCTGTCGACCTACCCAAGAATATGATAGTGTTAGGCTACTTTGTGTCTAAGGCTAGGCTCCTTGCGCCTCAGAGAACTGCATTTTAAAACAATTAGTAAAGTTGCAGTGGTCCCCACTCCCCACCCACACCCCCACCCACACCCACAGTAACACATGCTCATCGTAGTGACCAGTTAAGCTAGGTTTCAAAATCCTGAACATACACAGAAAAGTCCGGCCGATAACAATCAGCTTTGGTGTTTGGACGTGGTAGGGTGCTCAGATAATTGTAATTATGCCCTTTTTCATTAGCTTGGTTTTCTAGGGAGAGAAAGTCTCTGGCTTTGCTTTAAGTGTCTGTGGAGCTCACTGTGCTGCCCTTTCTCTCTTAAATCCCCTGAGGAATTTTGAAGATTTGAAGGGAAAGAAGGAGCCTCTGCAGAGTGACTTTTCCTGTCTCCTGGTGCACTGAGCCCCCTCTGAACAGTGGTGGCAGGAGAAGCCTGCATCGGCCTGAAATACAGGTTTTTATGTCTGGGGTTGCTGCCTTCCTCCAGGCTCCATGGCCTTGGGCCTCTTGCTGTAATTAGTCATTTTGTTTCCCACATTTTGGCCTTCTAACCTGGGTTTCTGGCTTGTGGCTGGTCAGTTTATTGCTAGATGCGGTCTCAAGAAAAGGACAGGTAAGCCACCGCAGGAAACTTAGCACCTGCTCCCCTTGGCCTGGCTCACCTGATGAGGACTATTCTGTTGAACTGTTTTGCCTGTTCTGTTTTAGAGCCCCCCCAAAAAATAAATCTCAAGCTTTGATTGATAAAATCTTGAGGAATCACCACAAGTAATGTTTTACTTCAGTTTTTGGACTACAAGGCCCTAGGGGGGAAATGTTGATGGAACGAGTAGAAATGTACTAGGCTGGTACATGGGGACCAGACATTACTGTGCTTCTAAAGTTCTTTAAGTTGGCTTGAATAGCTTTCATTTTTAGACCCTCAGCATGCCGGGGACTGACCCCAGGCTCTTGTCTGTGCTAGGCAAACAACCTGTCCACTAAACAATCACTCCAGGGCTATATAATCTCCCCCTTCAAGAACACTTCTTTCTTACTCCAAAGGGCATTCCTGCTTCTCAATGAAGTAGCCATGATAAAGAGCAGTGCTGAATACCAGCTTCTTAAGTGGCCCCAGGCTCTGGTGAACACATTTGTTATATGTTTGAAATACCAGGCTCGAAGCCTTATATCCCTCTAAAGGAAGGAAGAAAGAAAGGAAGGAAGGAAGAAAGAAGGGAAGGAAGGAAGGAGGACCATGTTCATGTTAAATGGAACTTCAGTGCACCTGGCCAAAGAGCTGGTGTCTTGGGCATAAAGCAGTGTGTTCAGTATCTTTGCAAATGAATCCATTTAATCAAATATTAAGTTTTATTCAAATTCCCAAAGAATCACTGGCCAATTGTCTTTCTTTGCGATGTTCCTTGTCTCTCATCTTCTTTGCATCTCAAGAAAAATAGCCTCCTGTTCTCCTTTCACATTTGCATCCTCCCAGCTCAAGCCCAAGGTTGTCAGAGGAACCACTAAGGGGTGCGCAGCTGGTGGTCCACAGCCTGCTCTCTGGGCTTGAGACATTTGCCGAGAATGTCGCGGGAATATTTGGGGTTGAGAAGGGAAAACTGTTTCAAGGCATAGATTGAAGTTCAACACTAGTTTAAAACAATGGTCGTTTTCTGTTTGCTTGTTTGTTTGTTGAGAAAAGGTCTCACTATGTGGCTTAGCCTGGCAGTGAGATCATAGCAATCCTCCTGCCTCAGCACCCCTCGTGCTGAGAATATAGATGTGAAGTATTTATGCTCTCTGGTATTTTCAGAAGGCTTGAAGAGACCTGGGAATTTAACACAGAGATGAAATCCTGAATAGCTATAGGAAGGAACCTAACCATCTCCAGAAGAAAAAGAAGTCACTAAAACAGACAAACAAACAAACAATAACAACAATAAAAAACCCTACACAACTTTCTGATGGTGTCACACCTCTGGTAGAGTGGCAGCCTGCTCTATTGCTGTCGCCAAATGAGAGCTTATCTCTTTTCCATGCACTGAATTTCCTTGGGAAAGCCTCAGAGCAAATCAGAGAAGGGACATTCTTTCTGTTTCAAAGTGCTTAGAAAATGGGCTAACCCCCTTCCCCATGTGGGACTGCAGCTTGAACCCAGAGTTCAACCAGAGGAGGTTTTTTTTTCTTCCTGTAGCCTTCAGGGCCTATTCTCCTTGCATTTGCCTTTTTGCTGCCCGAGCTGTTCCTCCTGTGGTGGCTGCTGTTTAGGGAAGGTTATATTGTGCTTGGTAAACAAACCGCATCGAGACACTCGGGTCGTTTGCACTCCTAGGTCCAGATGTACCCCTCTCCTTCCCTGATCCTTTATATGCCAAGCAGATGTCTTTCATTAATTTATGGATTTATCATCTCTCTCTTTTTTCCTTTTCCTTTTTCTTTCTTTCTTTTTTTTTTTTTTTTACACCTGGCAGCCGGCTCAAGTTTCTCCAGTTATTGTCTATTTTGCATTACACATAGAATTGGATGTCATCTGTCTTCACAAAGCTAAGGCTCAGAGAACTGAGGAGAGCCGCATGAGCTGCTGGGACAGCTCTTGTTTGCACCCCCCTCCCCTCCCCCACCCCTTCACCTCCTTAATATTTATTTGTGCTCATTTTCTTTCCTGGCCTTGAATGGAGCTCAGCTCGTGTTCAGTACAGCTGTATGTTTACTGAATCTATTCCGTCGTGAGTCATTGTGCGTGTGTAAGTATCCAGGAAACAGCTAGTGCCTTCTTGGAAGAGCAGTTGCTTTCAGCACAAGCACTTAAAAGGGAAATTAACCAATTGGTCAGTTCAGATTGATTTTGAGGAGGAAAAAAATAAGGATTATCTAACTGCTGGCTTTTAAATGTTTCATTAGCTATTTTTAATAGTTTATTAGAAGCATATATTTTATGAGAATTTTATCTTAATTACACAAGGATCAAGAGGGACAGAGACAGGTTCTGTGTTCTCTTTGGGCAGATGGTGCCAGGTATTACCAACTGGAAATATCTTGAAGCAAAAACTTGAGCAATCCGCATCAGAATAATGTTTTTTTTCCATTAAATAAAAAGCCTCTAAATTCTGATGAAAAAACAAAAGAATGGATTTAAAAAAAAACAAAAAGCTAAAATATCTTAACAAAATTTAGATGCATGGAAAGATCCAGGGTATTTGGGCAGCCCTGTGCCTCTTTTAGACACATGACCAAACAGTTTGCCTTTTGTTTGAGACCAAATCTACAAGATTTGGAACTTAGAATCATATGCAGGGCCCTCTGAAAGAAAAGACTAGAACTGGGATGGAAGATAATCATCCAAGTTCGGGCTCACTGGGAACTCTTACCATGAGCCGGGAGACAGCTTGCAACTATGATTTCACTTATCCTTGTGGGCAGATGGTCCTGAAGTACCCGGCTCCTTTAGTCTTCTCCATCAGTCTAATGGAGGTTACTAGAGGGCCTTTCAGCTTTTCCTTGGCACAACAAGTATGTCAGTCATAAATTATCGTCTTTGTAATCATTAAGGACCTTAAACAAAAACACAAGTCCAGTTAAGCTGCTTTGGCTTGCACATTGAAAAATCAAAATTTCTTTCTCCAGTGCTTATTCTCAGTTAAACACACACACACACACACACACACACACACACACACACACACACACACACAAAACTACAATAGCTAACTTTTCTATTTAAAAACAATGGTGATCTTACCCCCCCCCCCAACAGCATAGGATATAAAGGAGGACATCCTGGAACACACTCACGGCAGTGTGTTTGGTCAGGAGTAGTCAGGAGCTTATCGATATTAATTTGATTATGCATCTCCAGGTCCTCCCTGGTTCCCCACTATTCTTAGGATTCACAGTGCCATTCCTAATGGAGGTCACTGGGAGCCTGTTCTCTTTCCCAAATGTCTACGCTTATCTGATCTTTCTTCCTAAGGTGTGAAATTCTCCAGTGGGTAGCTAACCGAGTGTGGGACACACACACACACACACACACACACACACACACACACACCTTTTTTCTGTTTTCCACCTTTATTTTCTCCCACTCCCCTTTGAGAGGAAGTCCTTAGAGGAGCTTCTAGGAAGGACCCTTAATTGACCTTGTGGGGGATCACATTGATTTTCTCCACGTGCATCTTCATCTCTGATAAATTATAAAGCCATTAATTTGCTGAGGAAATGGCAGGGCCAGGCTGCGGCACAGATGTGACCAGAGCCATCCCAGCTCGGAGCCTGCTGAGGAGTGCCAAGAATCTGAGAGAGAATCAGGCAGCCTGGATTGTCATGGTTAGGCCCCCCCTTCTCCTGGGAACTGTTTTCGTTGCCACTGTTTACAGATCTAAGAGGTGATGATGTTTCCAGATAAATAGGCCTTCTTATTTGGGGTAAGTGGCTACTTCATTGATCTGCTAACCCACATGTATTGACTTGTTAGCCCCCAACTACTGTGTCATTCTCAAAGGAGTTAACTATAAATTCAGAGCGAGCAAATCGTACTCGGTGTTGAACCATTGCCTTAACAAAAGCAACACCCCACTCCTTCCTCTCTCGTGCCAGACTGCCCCTCCCAGGTTTGCACTGTTAAAAGGAACAGTTCAGAGGCAATCGAAGCAAGATAGGGAGACACCGGAGTCTTGAAGCCTCACTGTGCTAGCACTGCAAGGGAGAACACAGAGCTTGCATGACCATGCTCGAAATAACGCGATGTGCATGCAGCTTCTACCCAGGCCAGAGTGATGATCTGAGTCAGAACTGCAGAGTGTACAGAAAAGACCAAATAGGGTGGTGTCTTCAGAGAAGGGATGCGGCCCCTAGGTACGACTCCTGCAGTGGTGATAGGCTGGCTGGTCTCCTTAGCAACAAGTGAACTGTATGGATAGCATACTGGACTTCAGATGCAGGAGGAGGGCTTGGCCACCCTCATCAGGAAGCAGCCAAGAATCTGCAGCTGAATGGCACATTCTAGCCATTCCCTTTGGCAATCCAAGACGGGCAGCGAGCAGTCTGCAGGCAAGGTGTCCAGTTAGTGATGGATTTCATGATCCATATGGATGACCACACAGCTTTCCCAGGCCAGCTTGTGGGGGGAATTCTAGACACTCTGAGTGTCTGTAGAGACGGGGACAGGAGGGATAGCCCCTTTTGTTTAACCTTGTTTGTGCCTTAACCGATTGCGTCCTACATGCAGGAAGGGTTGTCACCCAATCACTTGAAAAAGGCCAAGCTCATGTTCTTTTACACCCGTTACCCCAGCTCCAACATGCTGAAGACCTACTTCTCTGATGTGAAGGTAGGGACCGTTCTCATCACCCATCGTTCATTGTCTGTGGATGCAGCAGTGATCTGGACCCTTGGGAGTTAATGGGGATGAGTGTGAGGTTGACTTACGGCCGCACACTGATGTGAGTGGTTGGCTGTACTTTTGTTCTTTCGTCTGAAGTTGTGAAAGCAAAGACGCCACTTTTCTATTAACACCTAAGGTTGCTCCCCAAGTCACGTGAGTTTCCCGTGCCATCCAGGAGACTTTGCCTCTCTCTTTACATGGGTGAAATCTCCACTGGTAATGCCCGGATATCCCAGGGGGGAGAAAAATCCACCCCTCTCTGCAACAGTGAACTGTTTCTGTTTTTGTTGGTTTCTCTGTATTTGTGCCTCTGAAATCTAACTCTTAGCACCTCCTCTCCTCCTGTCGAAAGGAGTGAACACTGAAATTCTCTATGCAGTAGCTGCTTAGAAACAAAAGTGATGATTGTCTCTTATTTACAACTTAATTTGTTGTTGATGCAGAGTACACTGAGCATAAGGGGAATGAATAAAGTGACAGATTCAGGACACATTATTCAAATGAGGGTATGAAAGCTGTCGGCCTACAGCTGCAGCCCCCCTCATTCCACAGAATACTGGAACCTCCTGGTTCTCTCTCTCTCTCTCTCTCTCTCTCTCATGTGTGTGTGTGAGTGTGTGTGCACGCGTGTGCACACATCAACAACTTGAAGTTGTGTAATCATCCGTAACTTTTTTTTAAACCTAGACTGGGTTTTGGTGATGATAATGACACTCACGGTATCATTATCCAAGGAATTTGATAAACATTGCATTAACTGAGATTAGTTTCAGGGGAGTTGGGTGGCACCCCGCAACCCTTCCCCTGCCTGCCTCAGTGTACACAAGCTCTGTTTTCTTCAACCAAGACTCACAATCCATGAAGATGTACCTGTCCTACCTCTCCCTCCCTCACGCACAGCTTGCCTGAATCTTGCGCCCAAGTCAAGCCTATGGCTGCCTTTCTGCCGGCCAGTTTAAGGAGTTTTATTTTCCTTCCTGTTTGCTTCTGAATTGTGAATTAACTTGAGCTTTTTCTCTCTTGCTGTGTTGCTTAAGGGGGAGGTGTGTTCTTTCCCTCTGGACAGAGCAGGGAAAGCAGCCTGAGGCTGAAAAGGGAAGCTAGGCCACAGCAGGTCAGGAATGGGCTTGGATTTGGTGGTACTCTACCACAGACCCATTGGTTGGAGCACACGGTTGAGGACTGGCCAGTTTTTGTCACACTCACAAGCATGCCCAGCCTTTGACATTGCCATTCTCAAAGTCCATACTCAAGAATGGAGTTTAGTTTAGCAGTAGTGATACACACACACACACACACACACACACACACACACACACACCACATCACAAGAAATAAATTTCATAATGTTTTTAGTATATTTAGCCTCCTTCATAGCTATCCTTGACTGTCAGCTGGATATGCTGGCCAACCTGTCTTTGGTTCTCAGAAGGAGGGTGTGCACACCTGTGTGTCTTATTCCCTCCTGATTCACCCCTCTTACTGCAACAATCTGTTCCATTTTTATAACGTTATGACATTGCCCCATATATTGTAATTTAGCACCTTCCATCCAGAGACAGACCAAAGAACTTTTTAAACACAGGGGTCACTCAGCAGCAAAACGAGCCTCCCTGGGGGCAGTGGGGGAGAGCAGGGTAGAAAACCCAAGCCATTTTAAACCAAGCAGGCACTACTCAAGAGTAGATACCGGCATTAAAAAAATGGTCCAGGCTCTGTATATTTACGTAAACGCTGAGGTATGAAGATGGATCTGAGAAAAGGAAACTTCTTGTTCCTTCAGAATACAGCTAGTAAACCAGCTGCACATGTAACCACTCAATCTGTCCAAGCCACAATAAAACACCTGGGCAAATATTTTATTTTTAGAAGCACTAATATTCAGTTATAGATTCTACCCATACTTTAACCACACTAGGAGCGATGGCGGCTAAAGTATGTGTGAGTTTAGTTGAATAATAATCACCCTCTGTAATGAAAGGAGACAGTAGTGTGTGTGACCCACAGCAGAAAGCTACAGAAGGTCGCTCCTCTTTCATTTTTGGAATGAATTATACATTTTTAACTCTCCTAATTACATCTTTCAATTTGGCTGGTAATAAATGAATTTGTATTCCTTGAGCTTATGAAAGTGATGCTTGGGTGATGTGCGCGGGAGGCAATTTACATGAGAGGACAATGAAGAGTCGCCGAGTCTTCCCTGAAGTTAGGGTGGCTCTAAGTCTGTGGATTCTCGGCTTATCTACAAACACGTGCCCGTTATGCCGCACCACATATGTCTACATACAGTCACACAGTCACTTCTTTTTAAGGCTGAAAGGAATAGATATTGTGCTATGTATAGATACACAGGGCTAAGTTTTATTGCAGCTAAGATCCAAGAAGCCACATCAGAATTGAGAGAGCCCTAGAAATAGGGAAAGGGGCCCGAGAATTTCGTCAGAAATGCCACTTGATTATATATCTTGAAAAAGATACACAACACTTGGTTTGGCACATTCATCTAAAAAAAAGTTCTAATCCTAGTAGAATATACTTTTTTCAAATTGTTGAGTCATTTACACTTCTGATAGTGACTATGTAAAACAACGCAGAGAAGCAATATATGCAGGAAGTATTTGATTTCTCGAGTTAGGTGTTACCCAGATGCCTGTCATAGCCACAGCTGGAGATCGGGTGTTGGATGGAGGTTCCCGAACGTGAGATGAGACTGAGTTAGGCTCGTGACTTCATGTCTCCCTCCAATCCTGGACCGCTGCTGGCCGTCCCCAAGTGGCTTCCATTGTGGAAGGCAGTAGATGTGCTCGGTCACCCGGGAGGAGAATGTTAGAAGGGAATCACAGGCACCCAGAGCCGTGGTGTGGGAGTTAGAAACGAGAGAGGATCCTGGGCCACCTTAGCTTAACTGCTCCAGGGAGAATCGAAAGTTCTGTGTTCCCTCAGAGAATCCAGCTCCCCTCCCCAGCCCTCTCCCCTTAGCGGCTCTGCTCATCCTGTTTTCAGGACCTTTGAGAACAAGTTCGTGAGAGATGCCAGGATGGAAGGGCCTCCCTGGCTTCCCATTCACTACTGGGTGATTTTTTAACATACACACCGATAACTCCTGGACCACTAAGTACAACAGATTCGTGTCATTTCAGCTTTGAGGAGCAGGCGTTCACAGCCGTTCAAGCCGGCAGTGTTAAATGATGTATCTCCCTCCCTCCACCCCTTGAGTCAACTGCTGCCTAGCCGGATTAAGGTGTCAGGTTGATTTGTTTTATACATCTTTTGACCATGCTCATTGAATATTTAGGAAGTTTCTCCAGCCCATATTGAGGCTGAGATGTCCCGTGGGAAGTATTAATCAA